GGCGAGAGGGATCGAACGCCCAGCAGGGCCAGTGGGGGGGTGGGGGGGGGGGGGAGGAGGGGGGGGGGGAGGGGGGGGGGGGGTGGGGGGGGGGGGGGGGGGGGGGGGGGGGGGGGGGGGGGGTCACCTCCAACTCTTGGAAGATGATGGCAGTGTATAGCAATTCATCGGTATAAAACTGTCGACTTAGAGCATGGGACATATGCCCAACAGCATTGTTATACAGCTGTGATCCATGTCGAAGCATGCGATGATCAACGTTCATTTTCCCCAGAAAGACACAGGATATTGCTGCGATGGCCTTTTGAAGCATCGACGTCTTCCTGGGCAGGGATGCAATTTCCGCAAATAAGGATGGAAAGACATCTGGGTTCAGAGTACGCCATCCGTGATGAATGGGGAAATGGCTATGAAAGAAAGTCGACGTGATCTGCTCTCGAACTACAGGGCCTGGCGCAATGGTTTGATTGGGATCCGCCACGGCGCGTCTATTTCTCATAGGCGCAGTGAGCCCTGGTGCCTCGCCAGACCGATAGGGAATGAAACGAGGTCCTTCGTAGCCTGGACAAGGTTCCCCGCGTCGGGTGCATTTCGCACATTGCGGCTTTCGCTCATCACACTGCCTTGGTGAGTCTCCCATTCCAGTCAAAAGGAAACTACTCACCTTGATCTTTCGCTTTCTGCATAGAATACAGCCTTTGGACATGAAAGGGATGCCACCCATGTTTGGCGCTCGCACTCCAGGACATGGACGTTATATCACATGGGCTGATGATATAATCAACTCGTTGGTACTTTCCAGATGTCGACTTCTCTCGTCTTTCTGTCTGAACTGTTCTCCGTTCAATTCGTTTTGCTGTGTCCGCAGTACCATTGCCATACTCCGCACTCCGGGGCTGGAGAGGCTCGATTTGAAGTGGGATTGCAATTCATGGGAGGATTGCTCGCTCCTTTTCAAATTGGAACCATGGGCAAATTTACAAGACAGATCTACAGTAGACATTGCGTGGCCACCTTCGCGAGAGGCGACAGGTCTGTGGATCTCGGTTCGGCCCGACAACAACTGGGTATGTGTCTCCAGATACAAAAAGCCACTCGGAAGACGGAAGACGGAGTACTTCTACTTCGGGAGATCATTGCGACCTCGTGAGGACTTGAAGGTTCCAAGGTTGTGATCATGGACCTGTTTGCACAGTTTGCACGCTGATATAATGCACCCGACACTTGCAGCCGACGACATCCCCTCTGGATATGTCGAGTATTCAAAATGCGGGATTGAACAAGCGGAGTTGCACGCGCTGCAGCCAAAGAAAAGTGCGATGTGACAAAAACCATCCATGCGATGGTTGCACAAAAGCCGAGGTTCAATGCATCTTTCCAGGACCACAACGAGCTCGGAGAACATTGAACAGGCCCCCCATCAGTGAGCTGCGGGCTCGCCTAAAGCATCTCGAGGGAGAGGTTGCGCAACTTCGGTCAGCCGAGCCGAAATCAGATCCTGGCTCTCTCGAAGACAGTCACGCGAAGAGGAATGAGGTGCTGGTCCTGAGAGAGGGAAAAAGTCGGTATATTGGGGATGGAGCTTCCATAGCTCTGGGGGAGCAGGTGCGTCATCCGTGCTGTTTGTAATGATCAGACACTGATGCCTCGGTAGATTTCCGAGCTGCGGGACATAATTGAGAGCTCTTCAGATGAGGATTCTCCAGGTGCAGAGCACATTGGTATCTTGCCAGAAAGTGGCATCCTGAGGGGCGAAAATGACGCCCGGTTCTTGGATTCATTTCGTCCCTTCATTCAGCGGAAGACGGAGTCTTTGTGGAGAGTCTATCTGGAGAATGTCGCGCCGCTCATTGCCATTCTCCACAAGCCATCTATGGCCCAGATTATCCAGAACACATGTGAGGGGGTGGAATTGACTCCCCCGGATGAGGCATTGCTATTATCCGTTCATTTTGCAGCAGTGGTCAGCATGAAGCCGCATGTTTGTCTCTCTATGCTGAACCTCAACCACGATACTGCTGTCCAAAACTTCAAAAGAGCCGTAAGCCAGGCCCTCCATCGAGCCAGCCTAATAAAATGCCACAGTTTGCCCGCCCTTCAAGCTGCTGTTCTGTTTCTACTCTGTTGCCGCGTCCAGGGTGATACCCGCCTTGTATGGGCCGAGTCCGCAGTTGTGATCCGAGTCGCGCAGGCGCAGGGCGTCCACCGGGATGGGGTAAACTTTGGACTGCCTCCCTTTGAGATCGAGATCCGACGTCGGCTATGGTGGCATATCTGCCTGTTGGACATGCTCTCCTCCCGGGATCAAGGGGTCGATACCCAGATCAGACCCGAGATTTTCGACACGAAGTTACCTCTCAATGTCGACGACCACGAACTCACGCCGGATATGGCCGAGTATCCCGAGCCGAAGATTGGCTTCACCAATATTACAATATGCATTATGAATTCTTTCATAATGAGTGAGATGCTCTGGTCTGAGCAATCTGGTGACTTTTCCAACACCTCCACAGAAGAGAGGGCAAACCGCATCACGGCGCTAGGAAAACGCATCCATGAGCAATACCTGGATCATTTCAACCTCGAAGTTCCTATTCACTGGGTGTTTGCAACTATCATTCGCCTTCAGCTCTCTCAAGCATGGCTAGCAGTCCATTTTCACTCCAGAGAGGACCCGCAGCCCTTTCAACACAACGACAGTGCCTTTGAGATGGCCGTGGAGATTGTACAGTTTGCTTACCTACTCCAAACCAACGAAGCGACGGCCCGATGGAGCTGGCTCTGTAAAAGCTACAAAGAATGGCATGTCGTGGCTTTCATCCTCTCGGAGTTGTGTACTCGTCCTTTGAGCCCCGAGGCCGATCATGCGTGGGATGTAGTGACCAAGATGTATCATCTCTGGCAACGGAACCATCCTCATTCTGACGCTTTGCTTGAAAAACCGCTGGATCGGTTGATGGAGCGAACGACCGCTTCAAGGTTGAGCAAACAGGAGGCACAGCAAATACACACCCCGTCTTTTGTTCAAGATGCCACATCCAGTGGATTGTATCTGGAGACTCACGAGGACATCCCATACCTGGATGAAGATCTGGATGCATTAGGGAGCTTGGATTGGCTTTCTAATTCCTTTTTTTAGAGATATTTGCTTAAGGGCAGCTGCACAACCGGCCGGGCAGCAGAGCGAGGGTCTTGGCTTTGAGCTCATCTCTGTTTTCTCGAGAAAGGATCATGAGGATCCTACACCACTTGAGTGGAGACATGCCATGTCGAAATCGATGGTAAGCGCGTTTGCCGAAATTGCGATCAACAACATACAGGGATCCACGCTCAAGATAGCTGGTCGTTGAAGCGAGCTCCCGAGGTCTCGATCCTACCTAGGTAATACTATAGTTCTGACCGACAATTGAACGCATGTTTTATTTGAGCCAGGTGTATATCAAAGTCTATATGAAAGGGGATTGAAGATGTAGAAGCCTCACACCAAAAGTGAAACCAGGATATATTCGGGGTATAGCGCAAGGCCAGAAACAAAACGAGAAAAGACAAGTCTATGTGCAGTCTAAATCAACCAAAATGTGACCGTAATCCCTCATAAACAGAGAAAATGAAGGCCGAGCTAGGCGCGGAACGCGCGCAGGTGATCCCGCACCCGCGGTACATGCCTTTCAGCCCCTGCTGTCGCCACAAGGCCTTGGTGACGCTCCAGAAAGTCTGGCGCTGGGCGCTGACAGGTAAACGGGAAATGTCTTCCGTCTGCATGCGCGACTTGATGGTGTCGGCCGGGTAGAAAAGGAAATTGTAGCTGATCCCAGCAGTGGCACCGGCAATCATCTGTTGATGAAGGGCCAGTGAATCCGCAGGCTGGGTGTGTTTTTGATTATAGGACCGGAAGAGGGATGAGACACCCTCGTAGCCACCGAACCAGGCGGCGCTTCCGCCCGTCTCGCGGATCAGGGTGCCCATTTGGCCCCGCCAGAAGCCAATGACTCCCTCTTGGCGGAAGATTGTGGTTATGATCGTCATGGGGCCGGCGGGTTTGAGGCTGGCCGACTCGGCGGGGACTTGCATTTTGCATTTCACGAGTTCGATGGGTGTCAGCGCCAGGGAGGTGACGGAGCCTGAGAGGGCGCCGCTGGCGATCAGCGCGGGGAAGGGGAGGTGTTCCATGTTGGGGTAGACGGTCGCGCGCAGGGTATCCTGGATGAGGCGATAGCTGAAGAAAAGACAGCTGGTTTCCACGGCGGCGCCAGTCATTGGCGCACTAATGCCTCTGTACAGCCCGCGGAAACCATCTGCCTGGAAGGACTGGCGGAAGCAGTCCAAGGGTCCTTTGTACCGAAGTGGGAGGGTCTCGGGCTGCGATTGGAGTCGGACTTTGACAGTGTCGAAGGGATATTCGATCAATTTACCGGCCATTCCTGCAGTCTAGCCTTTATTAATTGCCAGTTCGGGTCCTGCGTCGGGGAAGTCTTACCGAACCGAAGACGATGTCCTTCAGGGCCTCTAGGCCCTGGTTGGGTGGGAGTGATGGCAGCTCCATGCGCTCCGCGACGACATGATCTGTCGCCATTAAGTTCAAGTCAAGAGGGGGAGTAGGAGTGTTATCGAGGGATCATGGTATGAGAAGAGTATAAGAGTAGTGGGGGGGGCGGTGTAACGAGGGATTTGTATGAGCCTGTCGCCAAGCCACTTGCAGAAGCGAGCGAAACGATGACAGGTACAAATCAAGGCTGCAGAAGCGCTAAAATATCTCCGACCTGTGAGAACGTGAAAGAGATCGGAGACCAGAGAGGAAGTGGAGTCGGGAAATTGGAGCCCGACACATTTTCTTCGCCGCAGTCGCCAAGACATTTTATCAGATCGAGATAATCAGAAGGAAAAACTCGGTTTGCCTTCTCCCTCACGTCTTCAACGGCCTTCCACTACCCTCCGTACCCTCCGGTTTTCAAGGTCCCCAGCACAATGTCGACCTCGACAACCACCGCAACAGCCGCAACCCCGAGCATCGGCTCCCGGAAAAACGGTCAGTTTAAAAAGATTTAAAAAAAATCTCCCCCCCCCGTCTCCACTTATCCTCGTTTCGCTGACCCGATCGGACGTTCAGGCAAAAACTGGCATGGCACCAAGAAAGCATTCCGTCCTAATGCAGGGTTAACCTCCTACGCTAAGCGTCAAGAGGCGCGCAAGCACGCCGACGCGGTGAAGGAGCTGGAGCGTGAGATGAAGGCAGAACATGAAGCCGAGCGCAAGGTATGTCACTGTCGATCTTCCCTTCCCTTTGGGGACTTTCCCTTCTACCCAGGATATGACTGTCTCACCTGTCCGTGTCTGTTCTCCATATCTGCCCCTAACGGTCTCCATAATATTATATCCGACTCGACACCTTCCCAAGACGGGCATCACTGACCGAGACCATAGGCTCATATCCAGCGCATCAAGGACCGCCGCGAAGCCAAGGAGGAGAAGCTCCGGTATGAGAAGATGGCCGAGAAGATGCACCACAAGAGAGTCGAGCGCCTCAAGCGCAGAGAGAAGCGCAACAAGCTGCTCAACTCCTGAGCGTCGGAACTGGTTGGATCCTTCAAAATGGGCTTGGCGTTGTTTCTTTCTATATTTTCATTCGAGGTCTAAATCATCGTAGCGAGCAAACCTCATTCTCTTTTAGATATCAATTGAACATCTCCGTTGGGCACAGCCATGATATGATATTCGCTGAAGTAAGGCAGAGGCAACTCAACCTTGGAAGTGCTCCATTTTCCCCGACTCCACCCCCGAACCCCAAACCTCCATCTCACACAGAATGGAACTTCACAAGCCATCCTTTTCATCAAGATCCTCCGCCACCTTTCCATTGTCGCATTCCACGCCCCAAGAATCCCCCGACACTCCGGGTCGGTTCCAAGGCTCCGACGACCGCCAGATCTCCCCGCGCTCGCAACGAACGGCACAACCCTCGGCATCCTTCAACCCAACCCATGATGGTCGTCGGCACAAGCATAGCAAATCGCGCGACTTGCGGTTCCCGCGACCCATGAGCCATCTGGCCTCGGCCAGCGCGCGGGGGTTATTGCCCACATGGTCGTCTAAGGAGAAAGATCAAGTCTTACTGAGCCCGGAAGGACGCTGGGGCTCCGAGTCGACGGCAAGTCGCAAGGGGAGCTTGCTCGAGGAACGATTAGAACCCGTGAGGGGGATCCAGTCTTTGGGTGATTTAGAGAAGGCCAAAAAAAGGAGGAAGGTTGGGGAGGAGTAGGTAACTCCTGGTCTACCGAATAGGATTCTACTAATAACAATAACAGATATCTCAGATCCGCTTTGACGAGCATCGGGACATTGGCAACAGATGCCACGCGTCGACTGGATTACACTTACTACAACCTGCTGGAGAAGATCACGGCGCTCAACTCGACAATCGGCTCATTCCAGGAACTGTCCGATTCGGCCTCCACGCTGCTGAATGATTTCGACCGTGAGACGGCCACCGTAGATCGAGATATCCGCAAACAAATCAATGATCTACAAGGGTTTACGCCGCAGATCGAAAAGGCCGAGGCGTTGGAGTCACGCATGAAAGCCGGCCGGCAACGTGTGGAAGAGCTAGGCAAGCGTCTCGAGACTGTGCGACAGGAGATTGACAGCTGGGAGCAACGAGAAACGGAGTGGCAAATGAAGACTACGCGGCGATTACGGATCTGGGGGATTGTGCTGGGGGCCATGGTGGTGCTGGTGCTCGCTTTGACCTTCCAGCAGAATCAGATGAATCGGAACTCGTTCCGTGCTCCCCAGCCGGAGCGTTTCGTGGGGGGGCAGGGCTCTGTGAAATCCAAGACGGACGCAGGGCCAACGGTTCCATCCTTTCTGGCCGATCGTCGTCAGAGTTTGGCACAGACTGGCCCCAGTCCAACTCCTACGGTGTATGACCCTCTCCGTGTACTGGATGAGCTGTGATTTGTGCGTCGGGCCTGACCTGGATCCTTCGGATCCCAGCGTGTGCTTGTGTTTGTGCTGCCAGCGTTTGTGCATCGTGTCTGGACATGTTCTCCATTTGTACTTAATTCTTGTTTTATGTCATGATACCCCCACTCATACGATAGGTTGCTCGCTCTTCTTCTTCTTCTTATCTTCCACGAACTCGATATTGGCCTCGGGAATCTTGGCTCCGTGGACCTCGAGCAACCAATCGCTGAGATCATCACTCACGTCACCTTGTACCGTGATTTCTTCCACGCCGGCCGGGGACCGGGTTACCGAGGACCCAGTAGCAAATTTCTTGCCCAGGTCCTTCGCGATCTTCTTGTTCTCCAGTCCAAAGACCTCGAGTCCAATCACCACGGTGACATATTTGCGCTTGTTTCGCTCCACCCGTTTGATGATGACCTTGGAGGCCGCCTTCCGCTCACTGTCGCGAGCCTCACTGGCGGCCGCCTTGGCTTCTTTCTTCGCGGCATCTTTGGCGGCACGCTCTTGAGCAGACACGGAGAGGGTGGACAGGTTGGCATTCAGGGCATCTGATCATTGTTAGGGCCTCATTCAATAGCCGTCGGCTATGGCCTTACCTTCGGAGTACAATTTATCCCACAGGTTCGACTCGTTGTCTTTCAGCCAGTCCTCGCATTTCTTTGCCGTGCCTCCGAACTCGCAATACTAGACCCCACATTAGCCTGGCAATCGCATGATAAGCGGCGGGGAAGGCTTGGGCCTGGAAGATCCGGGGCCCGGAGAGCCCTGGAGAGCTGTGCTCGCAAGGTCGTACCTCTGGGGGTAATGTGCATACTAAAGTTTGCGTCAGCGTGGTCGGGTCTGGAATCTCCAGGGGTCCTCACCTCCACAATAAGTGATCTGTCGCGCCTGAGGAGCTTCCACCTCTGCCATTATGGATCTTGGATGGTCTGGACCAGCTTGTAGCTTTGTGAGAATGCGCGGGGAGGGGCGGAGGGGCAATTCTGCCAGCCCGGGATCACGTGTGGCGTCTCTGGCCTCTCCGAGTCTCCAGGGCCCCGGGTCTCCGGGCGTCCGGGTGACGTCTGCAGGTCTTCGTCTTTTTGTTTCTTTTGTTTTTCTCGCTCTACTGTGGGGTCTGAATGGACTCGATTTTACTTCTTGACTCCCGCTCAATTGCACAATGGCAGAATTGCCCCCGGACCCTTGAAATTGACCATTCCGTTGTCCAATTCCGGGATCTAGTGGCGAAAGTTGTTATCACGACATCCCATATCTTGGATGGCTAATCTCTATCCCAGTTTCAACGGCAATTCGGGGGCGATGCAGGACGACCCGCCTCCAGGAGACCGTTTAACTGCAGTCCCAGGGAGGGGAAGGTCGACCAGAGCCAATTAATCGCGTCCAAACCGATCATGACTCGCATGGGTTTCACGCCTCTTTCCCAGTTCACCGAGATAAGTCTCGTCTACGTCAGCTTTGCACAATGGTCCCCTGTTGCGCTGGCACGGTGCAGAGGCGTTATTCGGCCAATAATGGCGAGGGCCGACAATGGAGGTCCGTGGGGCACGGGCTCCGGGGGTGTATGCAGTGCAGAGCTGCGCGTCAAGTCTAGCGCAGAGTTTCAAGTTGGTCAGTTCAAGGGCCCGAACCCGACTACTTCACGGTAACATGCAGCGATGAGCGCTTATCACTGGCTCCGTCGCGAGCCCGCCCATCCACGTACAGGGTCGCCCAGCTTCACGACGCAGGCGCACAGACAAAGTTCCGTGTACGACTTTTGGTTATCTCTGCCAACGTCGATGCAGACGAAGATAGATCGGAGGCCCAATCATCGACGTCTGGACCTATCTCTGTCAACTGGCGTGAGGATATTCCTGATATGCGAGTCCCTATAGTCCCGTAGTCCAATAGCACCGTCTACTATAGGCTCTCGATAGTCTCCATATTCCCCATATCCCCAGGGCCGATAAGCCAGTCGGGGCCGAGATTCCCAAGTGGATCGCGAGTTGAAGTCTTTCGAACTAAGGCCTCGCTCAGGCCTGCGGGCTGGACTCTAGGCCGATCCGTGATGTGCCGAAAACAGGAGTTTGGCCTGTTCGTCAATGGCACAATCGGACATACCTGAGTATATTCTCGTCTCCGAGTAGACTCCTCGCATATAGAGTACTACAGTGGAATCGCAGAGCATAGTAGAGCTGCTATAGTTCCGTCGATCCCTCGCGAAGTATACAATCCCCACTGCGCTAACTCACCTGCATACGGTGGAGAAACAACGGTTGCACTAGATGTGCAGTCTGGCCTGTTCTTTTTGATATCGTAAAGCAAAGTGGCGAAACTCTCCTATATTTTTGGGCTGTTGTTCTCTTGATTCGCACTGATTTCGTTCCCCGGGAGCGGCTCTCCATTCTCCACTACTCCAGATATCCCCCCTTTGTCTACTTCTCTTCTCTTTCTATTCTTTTATATTCCCCTCTTCCCTCTCTCCTCTCTCCTCTCCTCTCCTTGTAGACGTTTTGTTGAAATAGTCATGATCTAGCCCTGTGCTCTCGTCACCTCATATCGCTTGGATATGACTACCCTGCTAGCCCGCGACGTGTCGCACTTCGCTCCAGATCGGTGTCCCACCGCGCAGCGATACTTCTTGGAAGACCACGCCATTCAAAAGTCGCCAATGCAAGATGTGTATCGCAGGGACTCGGTCGCGTCCCTGCCCTCCGTCCCTCCGTCCCCCAGTTTCACCCCCGACCTCTACACACCTGTAACCAACTTGTCATCCGACGATGAACTGGTCTTACCGGTCTATGACTCTTTCAAGGACGAGGAAATGAGTGACGTGTCCACCGAATCCCCATGCTCGGTGCAGAATCCCTCGGCGGATGACACCTCCGTGGAAGATGAACCTTCCAGACATGTGGACTATCTCTCCCATGACTGGAGAGAGGAAGATATCTGGTCTTCCTGGCGCTACGTGACGAGTCGGAGAAATGACTACAGTAATGGAGTGCGACTGGAGAATGCTTCGTGGAGAACCTGGACCAAAGCCAAGTACAATCTCAGGACAATATCCCCAGAAAGTCTGAACTGGTACGTCGATCGTTTCTTTCATCTGTACCACACTCACTGACCCCTGATCAGGTTGAAGGACTGTGATGTCACCTGGCTCTATGGTCCATTGAAAAGCTCCCTGGGACGTGAAACATCCCCCTCCCCTCCCCCGAGCCGTCTGGAGACACCAAACTCCTATCGGGAAAAAAAGCCCATCTTGAAGAAAAAGACCGCCTCCGAGGCCATCCTCCAGCGGTCTCTGTCCCAACACACCTTACTCCAGCATGCGGGGGCCATCCTAAAGGCCCAAGAAGCCGAAAACGGATGGGCGCGGCCCCCCTTCCCCAGATCCAACACGGATTTGGGCCAGATGCACCACCGCACGGGCAGCTCCACATACTCGCTGGGCGGGACCTTGACCACTTCGTCGTCGTCCGGGATGACATCCCCCAGCGAGCGACGCCATATCCACTTCAACAATGAAGTTGTGCAATGTATTGCCGTTGAAGCCAAGAGCTACGAGGACGAATGGCCCGCGACCTTTGAGGAATCCTCTGACGACGGCGTGGTCGTGATGCGACAGATCCCAGACCGGGATCCCGTCGGCACCCGCACTCCCCGGAACAGCTTTAGCGGCGAGGGAAAAACCATCGCCCCCCTGCCCTCCACCACACTCAAATACCGTGGGGATTTCGAGCCCAACTCCCATATCCTGGGCCGGTCTGGGTTATCACCCACCCCCTCGGTAGAGACCCTCCGTCCCTCCGTCCCCGAACCCCAAGCCAATTTTCTCCTTGACGATGAAGATCCCAGTCTGGATTTCACCGGCAATTACCCCGAGCGCGATCACCCGTGGTTTGAAGACTCCTCGTCGCGCCCGCTCCAATTGACCGACTCCGGCATGTTCATGCCCGAGGGAGATGAAACCTCCAACCACGGTATCCTGGGCCGGGTAGTTGACACTGTCAACACTGCCCGAGACATTGCCCACGTTATCTGGAACGTAGGCTGGAGGAGGTGATTGTACGAACATAATGAGCATAGAAGATCCCAAAAAAGGAACATAACGACTTAATGCAATCTGTGAGCTTACAATCCATCCACTGTAGACATTGTCCTCTCTCGTAGACGTATACTACCGTACTCATGTCGAGGAGTACTCGAAATTAAGAGGCGTTCGAGGATCGCCGTCGGGATGGCAATTGCCCCACAGCCCCTGATCTTTCTCCGAACCTCGATCTCCGCGTTCCCCTGTGCACCACCATGGAAACTGTCAATGTTCCAGAGCTCGTGGAGCGCCTGGGCAGCGATGAGGATGCCGTGCGCAAAATGGCCGTCTTCAAGCTGCAGAGCAACATCGGCGATCCGTCCTTCGCCGACCTGTTTATCGCGGAGGGTGGTCTCACCCGATTGCGCTACCTGACACTCCACGCCAGTGGGAATACCCTCGCATATAGTTTAACAAGTTTCTCTCGTCTGCTGGACGTTGACAAGGGGTGGGAGTGTGTGGATGAAGAACTGGTCGAGCGCGTGAGTCTATCGCCCTCCAGACACTCCTACAGGATCGCTGACTCCCTAGATTGTGGAATTAATCGTCACACATCCCCTCGTGAATATCCTTCGAGGCGCCATGTCCATTCTCGTGTCAATTGTGTCCCAGCCCTCCAGCATGCGCTCCGCTGAGCTCTCGGGCTTCCGCGCCCTGAAACCCGCCATCGCGATATACCCCCAATTCCTCGAAATGCTCGTGACCCGACTCTCCTCCGCCGACCATGCGCTATGCGCGAATGCGCTGCAATTGGTCAATTCCCTCATGCGCGACTCGATCACACATGACTCCGAGGTCGAGTGGCCCAAGTTCATACAGAAATTACAAGATCTCGGCGTGATCAGAGCGGTCTATGTGCTGATGCAGGACCCTGCCCTCCAAGATCTCACCCATCCACTCATTGAATTCCAGTCCCTCACCAAGGTCTTGCTGCGCAAGTGGCGGGATATTCCCCTGGATCAAGAGAAGCCCGAGCATCGCCGTGCGCTGAAGGGAATTCACCTGGCAAGCAACCCCGAGAAGATGGAGGATAGCGACGATACCCGACGTTCCAGAAAGCATCACCCAGAGAAGTGGAGGAGGCTGGGCTTTGAGTCCGAGAGCCCAGTGGCTGACTTCCACGAGGTTGGGTTCTTGGGGATGATGGACCTGGCAGATTATGTCCGTAGTCACGGCGATGAATTCCAGAAATTGCTACTGGAACACTCCACCAAGCCCGTGGGGCAACGATGCCCTGTTGCGCGAGCCTCCCTAGCCGTGACCTCCATTCTCTACGAGCATTTTGAAGTGGACAAAACCGAAATGGACGATTCGAAGGCATTCATTTCCGAATCTCGCGCGCAATTCGACAAAATGTTCCAGCCTCTGCTGTTACACTGGACCCGACTACATGTTGCCGGCTTACAGGCGTTTTTCCGACTGTGGAAAGCGACGGCGGCTGAAGCCGAGGATCTGGATAAGCTGATTGAGCTTGTGCGCATTCTCATTGAGTCCGTAGTCGGCGGCGCAGATCGGACCAAGGATGTCCAGGATGTCGAAGAGGACTTGGCGGATTTCGAATATTGCCGCCTGCGCGGGTTGCAGATGGAACTTCTGGAACTTACGTACGAGGACGCATGGGGTCATCATTTGCGTCAGGTGCGCGAAGAGCTGCAGCATGAGGCTTTGCAATTCGTCAAGGAGCAGCGCATCCGATCGCTGCTTCAAGGGTGCTGGTTTGCGCTGGATCACAAGCCCGATGGCCCCAAGTCTGCCACGTACCAATATGCTCAGCTCTCCCATAATCGCAGGTACTTGCATTTCGGATCCTTCGATCTGATGGGAGACCAGGCGCCAGAGTTGGATACCCTCCCCGAGAAAAGTAAGTGCTCCATGTGTCACGCTTGCACGCATCTGCTCACTGCCCTAGTCGATCTCTCCCTTGTCTCCTCTGTCGTTTCCAACGTCTCCACTGAAAACTCGGCCACGGCCAAATCTGGCCGTCAACCCACCACCAAGATTACCATCCATGGCTGCACCCCGTCCCCCAGCAGCCATGGCAAAGGTAACAGCCACACCCGCTCCGGAAGCAGAGCCACTCAAAAGGAGATTATCCTCCTTACTCTGCGGCCATACTCGCACAGCATTGCATCCGAGTGGCTCGATGGTCTGCTGATGCTCCTCAATCAGCAGCCCATCACGGCGGAAACGACCAAGCTGATTGACCTGGTCAGCAATTATGGACTGAAGATTCGATTGCTCAATGTTCGCTTTGATGACGCTACCTTTGCGGGCGAAGCACCGCCGGTCCCAGGCCGAGAGGGGCTGGATGAGAACTACTACTATGATGTGTTTGGGGGTGTATAGAACTGTATTTTGCTTCTGGTCAATATACCCGTTGTGACCGGACTAACATAATGTCAAAATGATAAACTGATGAATTCGTAATATATCCATGCTATTTTCATGCTATATCCACGCTATATTCGTGTATTTATCCCAAGTACACAACCCGCGGACGTTGGGAACCGACCTCGGGATGCTTGGCGTCATAAGCTTAAGATAAGCTTATCGGCTTCTCACCTTCTCACAACATCATGGACCGTCCCCCGAAACGACAACGAAGGTCCCGGAAATCGAAGTCCGAAGATGTACTTCCGGAAAGCTCATCCCCAATAGAAACGACCTCCCCTTTCGCCCTCTCCCATCGCCCTGTCTCTCCAAAGTCCAAAGCCTCGACCAAGTCTCTCCATGGCTTTTTTCAGCCTGCGACAGAAGCCCAGCGGTGGGCCACGGTCGAAAAAAAGCCTCCAGAAGAGGTCGATCTCATAGAAGATGACTACGACTCTTATGATGAAATTTTCACCCAACACCTCGCGAATGAGCGTGCTCTTAGCTCGACCGCAACCCAGACACGCGAAAAGCCAAACCCAAAGCCCCCCAAAGCCAAGCCCAAGGTGCCACCCAAAAAGCCGACAAAGCGATTTCTCCTTCCTTCCACTCGGCCAGCCGCGGAGGAACCAATATTGGAGGACAGAAGACCATGGGCTCAGAGATATGCCCCAGACTCTTTATCTACGATAGCCGTTCACAAAAAGAAAGTATCAGATGTACAGGCATGGCTAGAGGATACATTTGCTGGAAGACGCTCGGAGGTAAGAGTGTTCATACGATTTATTCGAACGAATCTAACTATCACAGAGACTACTCGTCTTGAGGGGCCCAGCAGGAAGTGGAAAAACCACCACGATATCCCTTCTTTCCAAATCCCTTGGATACGATATCATCGATTGGAAGAACCCACCGATCTCAGAATTTGGATCAAGCACCTATCAATCCGCGAGCGCCCAATTTGAGGAGTTTCTGGGCCGCGGTGATAAATTCGGAGGATTGGATCTAGACTCCGATGCAAGCAACGACAAGCGGATCCTCCTCATTGAGGAGTTTCCATCCATGGCAGGACAGGCCTCTGCGCATACGGCCTTCCGAGTGTCTCTCCAGCGATATCTTGCAGCGAGTGGACGAGACCATCCACCCGTCGTGGTCATTGTTTCAGAAACATTATTGGGGTCTGCTTCGTCATTTTCGGACAATCTGACCGTGCACCGGTTGCTCGGGCCCGCGGTCTATAACCACCCCGGGACCACAATTATTGATTACAATTCCATTGCACCTACTTTCATGCACAAGGCTTTGCGGTCAATTCTAGAACGAGAGGCGTTGGACTCGAAGCGCGCACACATACCTGGTCCGGCAGTGCTTGATCGGATCTCGGAAATCGGTGATATTCGCAGTGCGATCTCGTCGCTTGAGTTTCTCTGCTTGAAAGGGGATAGCGCAGGGGTATGGGGAGGTAGTCTTGCAAAGAAAAAAGGTCGTGCCGAGGTCGTACTGACGGCCATGGAGAAAGAGACGCTGAGATTGGTGACGCAGCGAGAAGCCAGTCTGGGGATGTTCCATGCCGTTGGAAAAATCGTTTACAACAAACGAATGGACCCGAGCTTGGTAGACAGTGAAGACATTGAGGTTCTTCCTGCTCCGCCGGATTACTTGTCTCATTTCCATCGGCCAAAGGTTTCGCAGGTCTTGGTCAATGATCTGATCGATGAGACTGGAACTGATATCTCAACATTTATCAGCGCTCTGCATGAGAATTATCTCCCGTCCTGCCACGGTGACCACTTCACAGATACTTTTGGAGAGTGTATTGAGGCTCTCTCTGACAGCGAGATCCTCGGCACCGACCGTCGCTCCAGGGGTGCGCGCGCAGGCGTAGGAACCGGTATCAACACTCCCAGCGGCGGTGTTGACGCTCTCCGACAGGATGAAATGAGTTTCCAGGTCGCGACGCGGGGACTGCTGTTTGCGCTGCCATATCCTGTCCAACGGAAAGTTGGATCTGGGGGGCGGCGAGCGGGTGACGCCCACAAAATGCTCTATCCAGCTTCTTTGCGGCTGTGGAGAGATACGGAGGAGATTGAAGGTTTGGTTGATTCGTGGTCACATCGACTACTTGGCCCATCTTTGGCATCTCAAAGCTCGGAACTTGCGGGTGTCAGTTCGTGGAAGAGTGCCGATGTTGGGAGAGCCGATGAAACCCACGGGGCAGTGACAATGATGCCGCGACATGACCTTCTGCTCCACCAATTGCCTTACATGGCAATCATTCGACGCCAGGACCCCGATTGGTGGCAGTTGAATAAGATTGTTGGCAAAAATCGTGATGCAGAGCCGACACCATCAATGCTTCCACCTCCAGAAGAGAAGCTGTACCTTAGCGATGATGATATTGTGGATTAATGTACGATAATGGCTTATAATATGTGCGATGTAGACCTCGGGAGACCCGTGGACGTGAAGTAGAGATGCCCAGGTGTGCTTATCTCCGGCTATCACCGAACCCCGTGATCTAACTATCTTATCTGGGCATGGATCACGTCCTTTGCGACGTGTAAAGAGTCTCTCCTCCGCTACCCCAGGTCAGACAAGATAGGATGATCAATGACAATGACTCCCCGCGAGCACGCGGCTATGCTTCCCGAGTCTCCCCTTTGAACTCAGATGAAAGCAGACTCTCTCAGTCCAAGCGCCAGGTCGACATTCAGCAGGATGCCCCCAATCTGGTGACCGCTACCGCTTTAGCAGTCATGCCCAACTGGACAAGCATTTTCCTGATGACCTCCTTGATCTTCGGAGGATGTTGTGCAAACGTGCGTTCTTTGAAGCAATGACTCGGGATCAAACTAACAGAGACCTCAGGTATTCGCATTGGAGGCCATCATCAAGTAAGTTGCGAAAACTTCAATTGATCCAATCATACTAACGCCTCCTTAGGGAACAGCCGACGGCTGGTAAGCAACGTCAACCAACGACACCCGTCCCGTCTAACACTGCCCAGGTCCTCTCATCACATTCGCTCAGTTCATTGTCTGCGCTCTCTTTACCCTCCCCCACTTCCTTTCTCCAACAGCAGGCCCAGGCGCCCTCTTCCTCAGCCCGCGCGCAATTCCTTTGAAGTCATGGTTGATTTACACTCTCTACTTCCTGTCTGTCAATCTTCTCAATAACTGGGCGTTTGCGTATAAAATCTCTGTTCCGTTGCATATCATCTTGCGTTCTGCTGGCCCCGTCGCCTCCATGATAATAGGTTATCTTTACAACGGGCGACGGTACTCACGTGGCCAGATCGCATCAGTGGCGATGCTGACACTGGGCGTTGCGGCGGCAGCTATGGCTGATGCCAGGACGAAAGGCCCTGTACAGGTGGAAACGGATTTGGTTACAACATTGACCGGTTTCACTATTCTCGCTCTCGCAATGATTCTTTCTGCTTTCCAGGGGATCTTTGCGGATCGTTTGTATGCGACGTATGGGCGAGATCATTGGAAAGAGGCGCTTTTCTATTCCCATGCCCTGTCACTGCCGGTCTTCTTCACGAGTCGGGGACAGCTGGCTGGGCAGTGGCGCGTTGTGGCAGAGTCGCCTTCATTGGTGACTTTGGAGGGTTTGCAGGGGCTGTTACGCCTGGTTCCCAGTAGGGCTGTTTGGGGGCTATTGGGTATGATTCCGGTTCAGGTGGCTTATCTGGCGATGAATGCGTTGACGCAGTACTTGTGTATTCGAGGCGTACATCTCTTGTCAGCCAAGTCGAGTTCTTTGACGGTGACGATTGTTTTGAACGTTCGTAAGCTTGCCTCGTTACTCCTATCTATCTACTTATTCGGAAATCATCTGGCCGGGGGAGTGTTGGCTGGAGCGGCGCTGGTGTTTGTCGGTGGTGGTCTGTATGGATTCGAAGGGGCGAGGATGAGAAACTTGGCGAAGAAAAGCCAGTGAGTGATAGATGAGAACAATGGAGAAGGAGGAAAATGTATGGGTGTGCGGTAATTGTACATAAGATGAGACAGCCTCAAGGACATTAATAGGAGAGCAGGCCAATCTATAACACCTCGCCAACGATCTTGGCAGCCTCTTTGTATGTCTCTAAGAGCTTCTCACACTTCTCTCTCTCGGCCTTGATGCCATCATCCTCATAAAGAAGCTCGCTGAACAGATCCTCCTTATAAAGCTCACTCACAAGTCGGTTCTGAACAACATCCTTGCAGTGATTGACAAGAAGGTGCATAACTGCCTTGGGAACCTGGTCTGCGATGGTTTCCCGGACAATTGCAAAGTATGATGAGATCAGGCGCTGGATGAGCTCGCATTCAAGCATTTCACGGTCAGTGAGTGCAGGCTCAGTGTTTTCGTGAGGCTAGAAACATTTGTTAGTTACCTTTAAACTGACAGTGACTGTTTTGAAGTAAACTTACGAAATTAGAGAGATCACCAAATTCGGGCTGTGGGGCTGTATATTCCTCTGCGGGCAGCACCGGAGACCGAACTTCGGCACGGCGAATGCTCTGGCTGATGCTCGGCTCGCTGGGGTGTGGGTTAGAGCGGTGGGAGCTCACACCAGCTGGGGGAAGAGCGGTATTTTGAGTGCCCTCCTTGCCGAAGAAGTAGTTTAGGAAAGAGTCACGCGCAGTGTTCGAACCAACACCAAATCCGGCGTGGTTGGAATGAGCGCCATTCAATGTCGCAGCAATGCCATTCTCACTCCCGCGTCCAACGTGAGGGGACAGGCTCCGAGAACCCTTGCTTGACTGGGTTCGGAGAGGGAGGGTCTTGGGGTCTTCTTCATCGTCGGGGCCTCCAGTCCCATTCGGGGCACCCAGTTCCTTTTGGCGGCGCTTCTCACGTTTCCGCTTCTCCTCGGCTAGTACTGCCTTCCTCTCTTCGTCCTGCTTGTTCTGGATGATTGAGGACATAGCAGCAGCGGCGCCAAGGAAGTTAGGGTGGTTGGTATTGATGTAAGCTCTCTGGATCGAGATCAAAGATTCCACATAGCTTGAGCACGGCCCGAGGCGCTCGCGAAGAAGGTCAGATACCACCTCAATGAGCTTGCCTTGGAGACGGGGGAACCGCAGCAGCTCTTGGTTGCCACAGGTGTGGCAGATCTTGATCAGTTCCTCATAGACCAATTCCACACAGCGCTGGGAGGGCGATTCAAGGAGCTTGATCTGAGGTTTGACCAGCAGATCGAAGGCCAGTTCTGGGACAAAGAGACTTGGACGAGGACCAGTTGAATTGCGAATGGCGGTTCGGATATCCGAAACAGTCAAATTATGAGTAGGGTCAATGGTCTCTAGAGAATTTCCAAAGACAGAGTTGAAAATATAGTAGATGCGCGCACCACCGCACAGCTCCTTAGTCGATATTTCCGAAGAGGTTCCATCGATAGATGAGATGAAAGAGGCGGCGAATCTAGTCATCTGCTGGAGGATCAGTGAGCCACGGTGCTCTTCGCCGCTGAACTGCTTGTTTCCATAGCTAGCCAGCTCTTGTTGAGTCTGGCCCATTAATGTGTTCAACCGAGCTTTGATATCTGGCAAACGGTCTCGAATGTGAGACATTAGAGTCGTGTTCAGAGTCTTGGCCAAGAAGTGCGTGCCGCAACGGTTGGCCATGTTACGGTAGGCCGGGTGGTGTCGGAAGAATTCAGACTCTGCTCGCAAGGCATCGGACAGAGATTTGCCAGATTGAATATCTTGCTGGGATCGATTGACCACACCGATGAAACCAAGCTTCAAGGGATACACACGCCCGGACAGAATGTCCATCGCATTAGTACCATGGTCCATCAAATCCAATTTCGACAGAACACCGATGGTCCTGCGGCCCATAGCATCCACCTGACGGGCGAGCTTCAGCGCCTCGGAGTTGACCAAGTCCACATTCGCGGGCGAGACCGCGAGGATTATGCTGTTGGGCTTGGCGATGTACTCCAGGATCAGGGTGCGCGTTTGTTTCTCGATGTCGGAGGGTTGATCGCCAATAGGCACCTTCGTCAGTCCAGGCAAATCGACCAGTGTCAGGTTCAGCACATGAGGGGAGAAGATCTTCAAGTTGATCGGCTGTCTGTTGATGCCCTTGTTGCTTCCCGCGATCCTTGCCGTCTCCGCTTCGATCTCCGCCTTCACTTGCGCAAAGTCCTCGAACTTGCGCCCCGGTTGGTGGTGAAACTCCGCCCACTCGTGCTGACCGGCAACACTCGCGGCCGTGTGTGGGATGTGGATCTCATCGGATGCGGGCTTGTCGTCGCGTTCACTGGGGACATTGATAAGCTGGAGAATCAGTGGCCGCCGAGTAACAATCCCACTGCCTCGGGGCAGGAAGTCCCTCCCAACTATGTTCTCCAAGACTGAAGACTTTCCGGATGATTGCGAACCAACCACGACCTAGTACGGAAGATATTAGTCTTGACTTGGGGCATCAAACAACGACCTTCCCGCCGAGTCGGTTCGGCAGGCTCCAGACTTACGATTTGGGGCAGATCTAGGGAGTCATTTCCAATGGTGTTGAACACCAGGTCCTGGAGCTTATTCACGGTAACGAGCAAATCCTCGCCCAGGGAAGCCATGATGCTCCTTTGATCCAAAAAAAAAAGGCCGAGGGAAGAAGAGGAGTGTACACGGTAGAAGTCGCGTGCAGGGCCCAGGTCCTCCGGCAGCGGCCTTGGAACACTGTTTATGGCCACTTTTTCGGCACACGTGACGCTGACATAATGGAAGGCCATGACGTCGTTGATACTCTGCTTTCATGTGGACTAGGCCTCTTCTCACAACGTACTCATCCTCTACTCTCTATACTCTCTACTGGATTGTCCGAACCTTCTTATGCGGAAGCGATGAGAGTTACTAGTGAATCAGAACACCGGGCATTCAACGCTAGGTGTCGATAATACACGATCAGGCCTAGTTCGATAGGAATAGTATCACTCTAAACCCAGTGCATCGCTAGCAACGGAATCAACCCATCACATCATTCATTGGTCCAGTTGCACATAGTTGGCAGGGAAGAGTCCCTGGCGACCATTGTACTCACCCAGCCACCAATCATCATCGGGGAATTCCTGCAACATACACATGTGAGCCTTTCCATGCTGTATAAAATGACAGACAAAACATAGTCAACTTACCACGTTGGAAATTTTGGCGTTTTCAGGAAAGCCAATCTCGTTGTCTTCGGCAGCTTCGTAGTCATACAATGCCGTGGCAGTGCGACCCTTGGAAGCTGGAACGGCGGCGGCAGGCGCAGCGGCAGCGGCAGGGGCCGGGGGTGGAGGAACAGCAGCAGGGGCAGGGGCAGGTGTAGGGATAGGCTCGGGCTCGGGCTCATCGTGAACGGGGGCCGGCGCATGCGCGGCCTCATCATCGACGACCTCCACATAGTTGGCGGGGAAGAGACCACGCTCGCCCCGCGAATTGACACCCACCCACCAATCCTCATCGACCATTTCAATTTCGGTCACGTATTCACCTTCGCGAAGCTCAATTTCGTTATCCTCGGCCTTCTCGTAGTCGTACTGGATCTGAGCTCGGGGTCCACCTTGGGTTGGCTCAGGCTCCGGAGCAGTGGCTTCGGCCGCGGCACGGCCTAGATCGTGAGAATCATCCTCCAGATCCCGCTCGTCGGGAACAGTCTCCTGCAGACTCCGAACAGGCATAGCCGGAGGGGGGGAGTGTTGTTCCTCGTGGGCGTCCGCCACTTCGCTTGCTTCCGGGGTACTTTGGGCCACAGGCATGGCAATCCGGATAGGCGAGCTGTCCCGCGCAGGGGGGCTAGGCGGCGTAGGGGAGCGCGGCTGTTGGGGTGGCGGGGGGAGCACCTGTTGGGCGTCATGTTCGGGCTCAGGCTCAGGAGCCGAGGAGAGACCAGGAACGGGCACCGGGCGACTAGCCTGGGGAATGGGAGGAGCGGGAGGAGCGGGAGTGTCCTGGGTGGATTGCTCTGGAGCTTCCCTCGCCTGAGGCTGCGGTTGCTCCTCGGTGACATCAGAGGCCCGAGCATCTACCACCGGCTCGGGTAACTGTGATCTTTCGTGCGCAGTCTGGACAGTGGCCCAAGACTTTCCTGCATAAGAGCTCTTCCATTCCCCTTGGCCACTGGGCTGGCTCTGGATCGGGGCCGGGGTAGCGCCCGAAGGCGCCGTTCCGCGCTCTTTAGCCTTGCGTTCGGCCCAGATCTGAGCAGGGGTCTTTCCTCCCTCATCTGCGAAAGTTCGGCTTGCGGCGCCAATCTGCGCACTTGCAGAGGGTTTCGAGTCTAGCCCTGGCAGAGGAGGCTTCGTGCCCGGGAAGGAGGGCCCCCTGCCGAATTTGTTGGCAACCTTGGGCTTGGGGAGATCGGTCAAACGCCCCGAGGCCACCGAAGGCGCCGGTCGTTCTGGCAACTGGGTCGCAGGCTCGTCCACCGTCGGGGTGGAAACGTTCCCACTGGTCCCTTCCGGCTTCTGCGCTCTGGCGCGGATCGCTGCGATGTCTACCTTGCCCACCGGTTCATACGATCCTTTAACCGTTGTGGGTCGCTCATCCTTTAGCTGACCAGATTCGGCGGCCTGCCTCCGAATCGCAGCAATGTCGACTTTCCCCACGGGCTGGTATCCTCCACGAACCACATCCGCCGCATCACTCGAGGGACCAGTGGACTGCCGAGTCGCGGTAGGGTTCGATTTCAGTTCTTGCAAGTTCACCTTGGTTGGTTGGTAGGCGGATTGGACCTTTTCTAGTTGGGTTCGAGTCACTGGAGGGGCGTCTTCTCCCCATCCGTCCCTATCCACATTCGCTCTGGGGGCGGGCTGCGCGCGAGCTCCGGGGTTGGGTAGGATGCCACCTGATCGAGTGGGCGTGAAAGCTGGTTTACTAGCCACTGCGGGCCGGGGGACGGGCGCGGGCGCCGATGCCTCGCCGGCGGAATACTTCGATCCGGAGGAATCGGCCACTCGCTGGATAATTCCCTCGGGTGTCAGGTCCCCGTCTGCTCGGGCGGTTACTTGCACATGATATCCCTGCAGAGGGTCAGTCTTCGTACTTATGTGGCGTCCGGGAAACTTACGTGAAGGAACTTGGACACGGTCGCGAGATGGCTGGTGAAGTACCCCTTGGTCCGTTCGGGCACCCCCTCTCCGCACCACCCGATGAGCACGTTCTTGGGGAGCCCGGTGTTGGGGTCCGTTACCTTCACATATGCGAATTGCACCCGTCCCTCGGAGAATTCTTCAATCAGATCGGCCAATTCCCCCTCTGTTCCTGTTAACGTCCCATCCGGTTGATTGAGATTGGTCCCCACACTCACCTCCTGAGCTCTGCACCTTGAGGACGCTCTCCTTGCCTGCATCCTGCTGGAACGCACTGACGAGCGGGGTCGAAACTGAGAACACGGCCCATTGAGCCGCGGTTGGGGACTGTCCTCTTGCAGAAGGGGGAGGGGCGTTGACTACTGTTTGGTAGCTCTTCGATATCGAGGGGCCGTTGGTGGACAGATTGAGGGATGCCATGGCGTCCGGGTGTAGGCGGGGTGTGGGGGAAAGAAGAAAGAGAGAACAAGCACGTGAGGACTATTTGCTTTTTGGTCCCAATGCCCTGGTTCCATGCATCAGCGGGGGAGTCCTGCGACGCCTCGGTAGGCCATAAGACAATGGAAGTGCGTGGTGAGGAAGAACTGACCTAGCACAGAGTCGGAGGTAGATCGGGTAATTGTATCAGGGAGATCGAAAGTACAAAGTACAGAGTGTATGGAAAATAGATGAGAATGAGAATGAGAGAGAGAGAGAGAGTCCGGAGTACAGTAGAAGGCAGCCCTGGAGCCTAGTGGAGGTACGAACTGGTACCTCAGGGGTACACAGCCCGAGATCAGTGGATCTACCTACATAGGGGCTCCAGGGCTAGGTAGGTAGGTAAGTCCGAGGTACCTAGGAGGTACCCGGTACCTCTCCAGTACTTCCCACCTCCACTGCCCAGGTGGGCATTCGAGACTCACCGGCGAGTGGGGAGCTCACCTCTTTTTTTTTTTTTTCCCCCTTCCTTTTTGTTGCTTTCTTTCTCCTTCGACTTGTTCTCGGTCAGTTCTGCTTGTTCCGCAGCGTCGCAGCTCTGTGGATTTGTCTTTTGTTCACCTCGCAAGCAGAGACGGTCCCCTTGGCTGATTTCCGTACGACCTGAGCTGTCCACCCTCGAAGAGTCATGGGACCCCACGATCTCAGTTCTGGCCGCAATGCCAACGCACCATTCGATGAATCAGCCACCTCATCTCCGGGCATGCAAAGCCCAGTCGATACGCCCTCCCAGGAGAAATCCAACGCTCTAGACCGACCGGAGGACATCTTGCCCAGAGACCGACAGCAGAAAACGGCCACCTACGACTATGCCTACGAGAAGTCCCTGAGTCACGCGGAAGCGAGACTCTTCTATCAGCATCACCAGTTGGCCGCACGTAACGAGACCGTGCCCCCAAGTCCAGTGGTGCCTGCTCAGACCGACACACACCCTGAAGGCCCGCAACTCGAGCACCTTGGGGCAATGAGTCCTAATCGGGGATCCAGCGAAGGATCAGTTGTCGCAGAATCTGACCCAGCCATGCTGCTCCTTCAATCCGAGCCTGAAGACCCACAGCCACAGGCGTCGCACTACCTGGAAGAGGACCAGGAGGCGGCAAATGGCTCCGCGCAGAACCAGGCGGCACTATTGAGCGCCGTCCACGGGCAGGGCCCATACCAGGCTGCGGCAGAGGGGTTGCAGGGCACCGGGCTGGGCATCGGACACGCGCAGGTCGCCAGTGGCTTCACATCGAATAACGCAGCGGTGACCTCGGAGTTGAGTGCCATCTACCGCAAAATTAAGAAGCTGCTGGATCGTCGAGCTCAGTACATGGAACTGTCCTTGCAGGGACCGGGGAATGACCCTAGGGATCAGCCGGACTGGGAAATCTATCCTCCTCCCCCGGAACCAGCGTGGGATGATGGCAAAGAGTACCAACCAGGTAATGCCGGAGGACCATCCGACCTCAATGGGAAGAAGAGAAAGATGGGCCAAGACATCGGGGAGGACTTTGATATGCAGGAACTTCTGCCGCTGCCCGATGAATCATCATGGACCTATAGACTCGATGGCAACAGTGTCTATCAAGTCTTTGAATCAGAGGTCGCCGCCGACGAACAGAAGCCAATAGTCCACATACCATCGCTACGGGACTTCTACATGGACTTGGATGCGGTGGTAGATGTGTCGACGGATGGACCAGCCAAAAGCTTTGCCTTCAAGCGGCTCTCGTACCTGGAAGGCAAATTTCAGCTCTACACCCTGCTGAACGAATACCAGGAGATGGCGGACAGCAAGAAGGTCCCACACAGAGACTTTTACAATGTTCGAAAAGTCGATACTCACGTGCATCACTCTGCGTGCATGAACCAGAAGCACTTGCTTCGGTTTATTAAAAGCAAGATGAGAAAATCACCGGACGAAGTGGTTCTTTTCCGTGATGGAAAACACTTGACTTTGAAAGAGGTCTTTGAAAGTATCAATCTTACGGCTTATGACTTGAGTATCGACACGTTGGACATGCATGTAAGTACACCACATCCCCGGCCGTGAGCGCATCACAACTGGATATCACAGGGTGGAACGTCTCCAATCCGAGCAGCAGTTTCCGTCCAATTGTTGGCGGGCGTATGGCCACCTCTTTTGACCTTGCTTGACTGATTTCCTGCAGGCACACACGGACTCTTTCCACCGATTTGACAAGTTCAACCTCAAGTACAACCCAGTCGGGGAGTCTCGATTGCGGGAAATCTTTCTCAAGACCGACAACTATATCAAGGGCCGTTACCTGGCAGAGATCACCAAAGAAGTGATCTCCGATCTGGAATCCAGTAAATACCAAATGGTAGAATGGCGGATTTCGATCTATGGTCGTTCTATCCAAGAATGGGACAAGCTAGCGGCGTGGGTGGTCGACAACAAGCTCTTTTCGCCCAATGTTCGCTGGCTTATCCAAGTGCCTCGTTTGTATGATGTCTACAAGTCCAGTGGCATGATGGAGAACTACGAGCAAGTCATTGCCAACGTCTTCCAGCCATTGTTCGAAGTGACCAAGGACCCATCCAGTCATCCCAAGCTCCATATCTTTCTCCAGCGGGTGGTTGGATTCGACAGCGTAGACGACGAAAGCAAGCCCGAGCGTCGATTATACCGCAAGTACCCTATTCCCCGGGAGTGGAATACCAAACAGAATCCGCCCTACACCTACTGGCTGTACTTCATGTTTGCCAACATCGCTTCTCTCAACAACTGGCGCAAACGCCGAGGTTTCAACACCTTTGTTCTTCGGCCCCATTGCGGAGAGGCAGGTGATCCCGATCATCTGGCCGTCGGGTTCCTTTGCTGTCACAGTATCAGTCACGGAATCCTCCTGCGCAAGGTTCCCCTTTTGCAGTATCTCTACTACCTGGATCAGATCGGCATTGCAATGTCACCGCTCAGTAACAATGCACTCTTCCTGACATATGACAAGAACCCATGTGCTAGTTTCTTCAAGCGAGGACTCAATGTGTCTTTGTCGACTGATGACCCTTTGCAATTCGCCTTCACGAAAGAGCCTCTCATTGAAGAATACTCTGTCGCAGCCCAGATTTACAAGTTCAGCGCTGTCGACATGTGTGAACTAGCAAAGCATTCCGTCGACCAGAGTGGGTTTGAACACTCTCTCAAGGCCAGATGGCTCGGATCAGACTGTTCCCTGCCAGGCGTTTCTGGCAACAATGTTGCGAAGAGCAATGTTCCAGATATTCGCGAGGCCTTCCGGCATGAAACTCTGCTCGGAGAGTTGTCCCTGTGGGTAATCCTTCCGCTCGAGCTTCCCGGAGAGCGGGACAATGCAAGAACGGCCATTGACATTACTTCATAGGATTGAACGATACTCTGAGTCTAGTGCGGAAGACCAGACGGGCTCAGCCCCAGCCCCAGTTGCAAAGCAAGTGGTCGGCTCAATAGGTAAAGTCGCGAGGCGTTGACCCAGTCGTTTCAGAGACTGACTAGGAGTCCCCATTCCTTAGATCATGCCGCTCCGAGCCAGACCCCTGACACCCCGGCGGATGGTCCACGGGGTGAGTCTGTTAATCTAGCTCCCACTTCCCCTGCTACTCCATCGGCACTCTTGTCTCGGTCTCCCCATGTTGCTGCTGCTGAGAGCACCTCTCTCGGGGCCGAGGTTGGGCCAGCCGGGGGGTTGCCAGAACAGAAGATTTTCCCGGGCATTGTTCATGAGAGAGCTCGGAAGGGCAACAGACACCAGTAGACTTCGCATCTCTTGTCTTAACTTGATTGACAGGAATGCCCATTATGCAGCAGCGGGATAAATAAGAATAGCTACAAGTATTTTCAATCGAACCATGATTATAATTGTCCTCCCCCTACTGTCATATCTCTATGATTTTACACGGAGGAAAGTCACAATCTAAATAAATGAAGGAACTCTCCGAACGCCAGGCCAAATCGCAATGGGGAAAGCGGGGAGAATCCAGTATGCAATCCAAGTCATGTTTATCATCAAGCATCAATGTATGCAACTCAATCCAGAAGAACGGCGGCTTCTGTTTCAGATTGCCCAACTGCCCTTTCGCTCCGGCAGTCCCCAGCCTTCCAAATTGGTCTCGTCGTCAGCCATACCAGGCTCTTGTCGAGCCCATTCTTGGATGTAGAGGCGAAGGGCTTTCCATCGAGCGCAAGCATCGGCAAGCTGATCATTTGTCGGTGCGACAACGTAGCCCCGGGCGTCGGTATTCAGGTCATCTCGACGGAGATCATCGATGGATATCGCAGAGATTCGGCTGAGTTCATGATCATAATATCGGGCAAGACAAGGGTAGCCTAACGAAAGATAATTGTAGATCTGGGTCACGAACCCATCGTGAAATTCGGAGTCAATCGCCTTCTGAAGATTGGCGCTTGTGGATTTGCGAGGATTGCTGATTCCGGGGGACAAGGCGAGTCGATCCAGGTGAGTGTGTGAATGTGACGGGCTCAGACCCTCGCTAATGCCAGTTGAGTCAATCCGAGGCATGGGGGTTACGATCCCAGGGAAAAGACCATGAGGTTCTTTCGTTTGACCTGGCTCTTTGGAACAGGTACCCATCCATAGACCAGCGCTCTTCCCGCTATTGTGGCGGGGAGCCGCGCACCACAGGCCCTCACATCCAGAGCACAGATCTGACGCATCATGAGATGGCATGCCGACATTGGAGTGCTCACATACGGTGCCCCCTGGCGAGAGGCTTTGGGGTATGACAATGTCTTTTCCAAGTAGGGGCGGGCTATGCTTTTTCGGTTGTGGTGTTGGATTTGGCTGTCCAGATGTGACCATCGCTCGGAGCCTCATCTCAGCCTCTTCCTTATGATGGCGCATATATTCAAGCTCCCAGGATAGATCTGCCGAGGACTGTCGTCGTGACTTGACAAGAGTGTACTTTGTGGAAACATCTTCCTCCAAGTCCCTGTCATAGTCGATGGCGAAATGGTCAACAGGTTCATATACTTGTTCGTTGGGGAACGCAGCTAGCGCCTGGTCCCTCAACTGCATATGTGCAGACCGAGCGGCAAGCGAGAGCAGATATTCTGAAAATTCCTCCTCGCAACTTTCACGATGAACCCTGGGACCAAAGGGATCCTTGGTCATTTTGTCTGAGGATCCCGGCACTGACGTGCACATTGAGTGTGATCTAGAGTCGTCCGACTCTTCACTGCTACTTGAGGGAATCGATGGTAGTTCGGGTACTCTGAATGAGTGTCTGCGAGCCTGTTGTCGGCGCAGAAGACTGGCATATGAAAACCGAGATTCTGGGGGCACATGGTTATCTGGGCAAAATCGAGTATTTACCTCAGCGGTTGCATAAGTTGCCGAAGATCCTGCAACGTTATGCGAGGGGTTCCGAAACGACTGTGCTTTTCGAAACGAGCGTGTATCAGTTTCGATGAGGTTCGGTTTGAATCGCCGTGGAGCCGGCGACGTCCCATCGTGAGACGGGACGCTTTGGTCATCTATCTCGGAGGTAGAGCAGGCTCTTCTATGGGTCGTGCTGGTCGTTTCAATTGGTTCGGGGAGGAACCTTCGCGGGGGTTTGGCTTCACTGATGTTCTTTGGGTGTGTTTCTTCTGTGGTTTCCTGACATCGATCTCCAAGGGAAAGAAACTGTTGCTTGGAACTTCGCGACCAAGTTTCCACAGGGTGAGCCAATGATTTTCTGGATGTTCGTGGCACATCTCCAGATCGATTATTCTTCGGGGGCTTAGGCTGAGAGTGGCCAGCGGATAAGCCTTCAGACGATCTGTCGGTAGACCTCCCTATCGCGCCTGGCGTGTCCACGCCAGGTCTGCAGTGCGCTTGCGGATGGCCCATTGTCCTCGCAACTTTGCACAGCTAGCCGTACGAATATCAACGGGGCTGTGAAAGCATCATGCGATTTGTTGCTTTGTTTATAATCCTGCGGGGTCGGAAAAGGCGGTCTCGGTGCTGAAGATAAGGTGAATAGCTGCCCACACGCCCAGACCTGCAGTTCAGGCATCACCGGAGATCCAGGGGACTTCCACTCACCGATCACAGTGTAGCTAGGGTCGGTTGGAAAGGGCGATGAGCCTGGCGTGGGCAAGCTGGAGGATGGCGGGAGTCGGTGTATTGGTCCGTTTTGTAAATTACCCGGAGGTACCTGGAACCCCCTTCGGTACCTATTAGGTACTATGGCCACCAAAAGGCGATACTTCCTGACGGGATACTGATGACATCAGCCAGGTACCATCTGACCGTACACGATAATGGACGTCAAAGATAAGATAGGCGATTTTCTCTTCTTCATTCGCCATGGACTCGACCGAGAAGCGGAAATTTGATGAAGATGCCCACGGAAGCTCTGCTCCAAAGCAACGGAAAGTGATCGGCCCTTCCCTTCCTCCGGGTCCAACACCTCCAGATACAGAGATTACAGGCGTGCCAACCCCACCAGACGCAGACGCACATGGTGACACATCCAGCAACAGCGATGACGACTTCGGTCCGAGTCTACCCCCCTCCAATCTACTGGCTGGGTCTACTCAATGCGCTCCCGGTGTTTCAAGGGCGATGAAGGCGCCCGAGGTGACCGAGAAAGAGCCAGAGAACCAGCGAGACCAATGGATGTTACAACCCCCTTCCCAGTCCGACTGGGCCTCAAAGATCGACCCAACCCAGCTCAGAAACCGCAAATTTAATACAGGGAAATCGGCCCATGCGCCTAAGAAGATGGATTCTTCGTGGGTTGAGGCCCCAGAGGAAAGAATGAAACGGTTACAGGACGCAGTGATGGGAGTTGGTACTTCGACAGATCAACACCGAGATCAGCCATCCAATGCAAAGGCTAAGGAAGACCAGATCAAGCGATACAACGTGAGCCATTACCAGTCTTGACTTCTTGTTCTTCTAGATCCGCTTTGTTGCCGTATTTCAACTAACCCATTGTCTTCCTTGCCTCTAGGAGAAAAATCGGAAACAGACTCGTCTGGAAAATTCTGATCAAGCGCGGGAGGAAGATGACGATCCAAGTGCACGTGCATTTGACCGTGAGAAAGATATGGCCGTCTCTGGGAAAATTTCTAGTGCACAGCGACGGGAGATGGTGAAGAAAGCTGCAGACTATGATACCCGGTTTACCAAGGGAAGTTTCTTATGATCAGAGCCTGTGTTATCCTGTTGCACCCGGCTTATAGAAATTCATGGAGATTTGGGCTTCTTACTGGAAGAATTGGGATTATCTCATGTCCCTTAGCTTTCCAGCGTGAGCTCTTATTATATATGAATAAATTAGACTATCTATGAATCCAAATTTCATTATTATTGTCATGTTGTGGCATGTCATGTGATCAAGTTATGTGCTCGATATCACATGTTCCATAAGTATATCATATGTCTATTGTCATGTGGTTGGGTCACATGATTGGGTCACGTGTTCAGTGCATCACGTGCTGAGCAGATCACGTGTCATAGGATGTTGGAGTCACGTGTGTGGGTCACGGGATGTCACGTACACAGTGTACCCTATTATGGGTGTCTGAACTGGATGCCTAAAAGAAGTCAAGATAAACTAAGGATTAAGTGAGAAGGTATGGGATTGGAAGGGTAGATCTAGTTATTAGTTCTCTCTCTCTCTTTCTTTCTTCTTTCCTTATATTTAGTATTTTCGACGAATATACTTCTTAATCTTAGGAATTTAGTAGATATTATAATACTAAATATTACTCTTTATTTTATATCTAATAATATAGTAATATAGATAAATTCTTTCTATTTCTATTCTATAAAATTTAAACTTTATTTTTTTATACTTTAGAAAGAATCTTAAGATAAATCTAGATATAGGATTTTAGTAAAGAATAGAATATAAATTAATATCTAGTATTTTTATTAAGGATTCTAAATTAGATTAGATAGAATAAAATACTAATAATAATATAGAATAAAATATTAATAAAGAATTTAAATAATTATAGATTAAGATAGTGAAGTTGAATATTAAGAATTAAAATCCTAAGATTAGGATTAATAAGTTATAGAATTAGTTTATAAAAGTATAAAATAAAATTACTATAATCTATATAGTATTACTAGCTACTATTAAGGAGTTATAAAAAGTATAGGAATAAACTTAGAATATTTAATTAGAAATATAATAGATTATAAATTATTATAAAGATCTTAAAAAAGAAAGAAATAATATATTATCTATTGTTATTAGAATAATTCTCTAATAGAAGGATTAAAAGAAATGAAACTTAACTAAAAGTAATTAGTTTATTATTAAAAATAATAAATTATCTAAGATATCTAATATTTTAATCTTGATTAACTATTAGAATATATATTTTAAAATCTAGATAATTTTTATTTAATATAAATTAAAGATTAATATAGATTACTATATTAATTTTTTCTTTTAGAAGTTATATATATAAAGCTATTATAAGGGAGATATATTAAAATATTTAATACCTTAATTAGAAGATAATATAATAATACTATATAAAGACTTTAAAGATATATTAGAATATTTTATAAATATCTATATTAAGAAGAACTAATAGAAGATTACTATAGCTAAATATAAAAGAATAAAGGAAAATTAATCTTAATCGGTAGTTATAAAATAACTATCTTTAGAATTAGTAGTATAATTTTCTTTAAGATTAAGAAGGAAAAGGAATCTATCTTTAAGATATCTTTTTTTAATTATCTATCTTTTACTAAAAAAATTAATCTAATAAAAGAGGGTAAGTATTTCTATTATTAAGAGAAAGGATATATAGTTTATAATTATCCTTTTAAGAATTTATTTAATAATATAACCTTAGTTATTATAGTAATAGTAGAGATTAAGGATTATTTAGATTTAGGAAAAATAAATATCTAGAAGAAGTCTTTTTTCTAAATAAGTATATTTCCCTTTTTATATTAAATTTAAAAGATTTAATTAATCGGAAATCTTATAATAATTTAGTCTTTAATATAAAACTTAAATTTAATAATAAAGTATTAATATCTATTATAAAGATAGTAATCTTTTTAATAGTAGTTAATAGATATATACTTAAAGATATCCTAATATTAATAGCTAAATTAGATTAGCATAATATTATTCTTAATTAATTATAGTTTAAAGAGTATAATATATTACTAGACTATTAATAACACTATATAATATAGCTATAAGAATCTAGCCTATTTAAAGAAATCTCTTAAAAGATTACTTATCTAACCCTAATCTAGATATTATAGCTTACTTAAATAATTAGCTACTATTAATAGAATACTAAATAAAGAGATTAATTAATATTAATTATAGAAATTAGAGATTAGTATATAAATAAAATAAATTAACTATATTGAATACCCTATAAGAAATAGTATAGATATTAATAAACTAAGAAATAAAAAATAAGAAAGATTAATCTAAAGAATAAACTTTGGGATATAGGGTTAATAAAGAGCTATACTTTAGATATTAATATGGTTAAGACTATTTTCTATTTATATTATCTAAAATAAATTTAATAGGATATATAAATTAAAATATTTACTATATCTTTTAATAAAATTGATTAAATATTAGAAATTAAATTAAGAATATTAACTAAATTAGAAGAACTTTATAAAATCTAGAAAAACTTATCTTTAGAGTATTATAATGTAGTAGATATATTTTTAAAGAAGAAATCTAATAAACTACTTCTATAAAGAGAGAGTGTTAATTATAATATTGTAAAGGATAACTCAGGGACTCGGTAGTTGATAGAACTATACGAGTCCCAAGTTCTGAGGATCAGTTATGGGGATTAGGTGACCCTACCTAAGGCTTCTGCACAAAAGGGGCTTTCCCTGCTCTAACTGATTCTCCAAGAATCAATCTTGAACCATCACCGAATAGGCCCTGATTCTATAGCGATCTCTAAATATTATCTTCCTTCTTTCTCTCTGAATCATTGTATCTTTACCTGACTAATAGGATAATATACCTACAAATATATAACCTTTACAATTCTAATTCTTCTTCTTTAATTATCTAAGGAGAATAATATTTCCAAAAAGAAGCCTCCGAAATACTACTAATTCCCCCTCGAATCGAAATAAGGAGAATTCTCCAATACCACTATTTTAAAATCCTACTCTCTATATAGCTCCAAACTCTACTAAAAGGTTTAGTAAATAGAATCCGATCCAAAAAATTTATAAGCTAGAGCCTATCTTAGCTTTAACCTAAGCCTCTACTAGATTTTAACCCTCTTGCGAGAACCCTTTATAAAATATTCCCGAACTAACCCAGATTTAAGCCTTTATATAAAAAAACAATAAAATTCAACAGTAAATTAAGCTTTCTTATAAAAATAGAGAATTATACTAATAACTTAAAAAAGAAGAGATAATAGAATAAACTAAAATCCTAATTTTAGTCTTAAAATAATCCTCTCCCTTAAGATTATAATTAAGTAAGCTCTAATTTATTACTGAGCTATATATAAATAAATATATTTAATTAAATAACTAGGTTCTAAAAATAGATATTATCTCTACTTTTACAAAAGATTTTAATATATAATAATAAAAGATCTAACTAAAGAATTAAAAGATAATATATAAAGTTTATTCTAACTATTTTACTAATAATATAAAGAAATATAGTCTAGCTATACTTCAGTTATATATAAAATGTAGAGAAAAATGGTACATTTATCTTACAATATACCTAAGAAGTAACTATGATTGGAAAGTATTTTAAACCTAAACTATTACTCTACTTAAAAATACCTATAATATTAAGATTAAGATAATAATAGATTATTATAATATACAGATATATAATAATAAAGATCCAGATATATTTCAGAACTAAATCGAGTCAGTTAAATAATATCTATTAGTAATAAACGAAATCTAAAAAGTCTATATTTACTTCTAAAGGCTACTAAGTTGGTTAAGAAATAAGATTACTAAAATTTTTAAAAGTAAAATATCTAAGACTTATACTAAGATTACTAAGAAAGCTATAATACTCTACTATATTAATAAACATAAGAGATCTATTAATTTAAATTAGAATCATAACTAAAAATCTAGTGATTTATACTATCTTTATAAGAAATCTAATTTAGTAAGTTATATTATAGCTAAAGATAATATTAATTAGTTAAAAGATTTATTAAAATAAAGATTATATCTGAACTCTGTAATCTATAAAAGATCGAACTAGAATTACTATAGTAATAAATTATAATCGAATTAAAATTAATCTAACTTTGGAGTAAGCTTTACTTACTATCACTATAGAAAACTCAACTATTATATAAAAAATTACTATATAAAAAAAGTATAGTAAATAACGAAAAAAGAGTAAGGGCTAGATTTAACCTAACTACTCCAGCCTTTAAGAAGCTGTAAATTAGAACTATTACTTATTTTTATACTTCTGTTACAGTTTATATTAAAAATGCTATTAATATAAATATAGATTTAGATACTAGTATAGAAGTTAATATTGTAAGTAAAGAATTTGTAGCTTAATATAAACTATAAAAAGCTCCTTTTATATTATTGCTACTCCGAAAGATTACGCTAGAGAGATTAAAGATTTATAGTATTTACTAGGTAGAAATAACTATTATAGATATATAAGATACTACTAAAATAATTAAAAGGCTCTGTATAGAGATTGATTAAAATAGAGATACTATCAAAAGTCCTATACTTTTATTCTAAATTACTCTTAATAAATTTAATATAGTATTAAGGCTTAGTAAGAATTAGTAGTAGTTCAGAGCTAAAAATTTTAAATTATAGACTTTTTATAAATTCATAAAGTAGAGTAAAAATAAAGTTACTATCTTTGTATTAGTTAAGATATCTAAAAAGTCTAGCTTCTA